GCAAGACACGTTAATAACAGCAACAAGATGAAAGAAATGCCAGTCGTTGATGGCCGACATTTTTGATACACTTTGAATGGAAAATCTTTGAAAGTATTTGGAGAAAAATGTAATTAGAGCGTGTGAAATCATTTTCCATCTGTTATCTATCTCACAGTGATCCTCAAATCATTCCTAAAATCATAATACCCTCATTTAGGGTATACAAGACATGTACGGGCCGGGCCTGTAAGTAGCAGCAGCAGCAACAGGCACAGGGGCACAGGGGCAGGGGCTACTCATCTCTTCGTTCCTCTCAGTCTGCGGTTGATTTTTATGGTTTCATTAGTAGCACACACATACACACATGAAGGCTCCTCTCCTCTCTCCTCATCACTCTTTTTACTCCATTGGCCTGGCTGCGCGCATGCGTATGCCACTTGGGGCATGGATATGGAGCCGCTGGCCAGTCGGTCGGCTCAGTCGGCCACTTTTGCGCTGATTGCGGCCTGAGAAAATTCTACTGACCCACAGAACTTTAACTTTTTGAGTGGCATTGTTCAATTTAGCCGCAGACAGACGACGAAGACGACGATGGCCAGGCCGCAACAACAGCGAAGAGTAACCGTGTACAAGACATTGTGGCAGGGTGGCCGGGTGGCCGGGGCCTAGTGGGGGCAGGGGCAAAACTAAGAAATTTCACAAGCCTGGCGGCCATTTTCTTTCAAAATATCAGCTCAGCCTTTTGTCAGTCTCAGTCCTCAACCATCATCACTCCTCTCTCCCTCGCGCATCTCCCATCTCTCTCGTCTTGCTGTCTTTTGTGGTTTTTTTTCAGGCTTTCCAGCAGATGAATGATGCCAATGGAATGGTTTTTGGATGGAGCTTTAAATTCTGTTTTTTTGGTGTCTTGTTGTCGGAGCTTCTACATATGTAACGCTCATTAACTCTGGGCAAAGGCTGAGGGCAGTGCAGCAGGCATAAATGAAACCAATGTGAAGGCAGGTGGAGGAGCAGGAGGAAGCCACATAGAAGGAAGGCGGCAGTGGGCAGGCAGTGGGGTAGAAAGCGGAGAGCGGTAGCTTAGAATGCACCCAAGGATGCAGAGAATGCCACATGAATAGGCGAAGGCGTCACAACAGGCCAAGCCGCACAAACGCATCAATACTATAACGAGCAGCCACACATGGGGCCACGGGGCAAATTAATTAAAGCGGAAGAAGTACTGAACTTGGCACCAGGATGGGAAAAACCACCAGAGAATACACCGCTCCCACCCCCACCAGCAGTGGGTGACACTCATTATATTCGCAGCATAAGCAAACCACAAAACGTAATTGCATTTCATACACAGACATATGTACACACAGAAGTAGGCAGCTGACAGGAGCAAGCAGTCAGGCAAGCAGAAAAAAGCAGTCGTTTCTCTCAGAGGAGGGGAAGGCAGTTTTAAGCTATGCAAATTCTAAAACTCATAGAGTCCACAAAGGCTTGGTCCCCCTTTCAAGTTATTTCTAATAACAACTCCCTTTGTCATTCTACTAGCATCACATACCGCCCGCTCTCACTATTTTCATAGAAAATTCTTCGCCCTCAAAGCTGTTTCATTCTTCCAGCAGACCACAAATACGAGAGGTAGCAAATGAAATGAAATGGAAATGGTTTGAAAGGAGCAGCGACACAGTATATGGACGACCTGTGTGCGACATATTTGAGCAGTCAATTTTAATAATTTCATGCAACCGCAGGAGCCAGTGGCTACAGCTACAGCAGCAGCAGCAGCCAGCAGCAGCCCCATTTGAAAATTGCGGAAATTGCCAATCGAAATGGAAAACATTTTCATTATTTGCTGCCTGCCTGCCTGCTTGCCTGCCGCCTGGTGGTGGCTGGGCCTTCGTCTGGTCATAAACATTTTGCACCCAGGTGGGTGTACAGAGTCCGTTTCATACAATAGTGAAAATATGTGCCTCCTGTGCCCGTGTGTGTGTAGATTTATGACTAAAAAAAACATAAATTCGTACGGTTCGCTGGTTGAAACATACTCGTACATACATATGTACATATTTTTTCTAGTTTTCGCGTGAATTGTCAACCCAGGAGGCAATATATTCCTTCCACCTTCCTGCTGTCGACTGTTCCGACATTGCCATTGATTTATTCGTAATTGGCCCCAAGACGACAGCTAGAAGTTGTCAATAAGCAATAAACAAGTACACACATTTATATTTTAGAATACCCTGTAGTATGATGGTACCTTAGACAAAATTTAGCACCCCTCAATCAATAAAATATATTCATATCCAGATTAAATAAATTTGTATCATTGCTGTTTGAGAAAAGGGATTATGGCATTCATAATTTGGAAGATATGGTTCATATAATCGATATTGTTTAAAGCTGAAACTCTCTTGAATTCTCTTTAAAATACGTTTGTCTGTTCCTGGGATAGAGTTCCAAATAAATCACAGTATCCCGGATATCTTATAATTAAAATACACATAATTCTTCGTTATTAATTGTTTTTTTTTTACCGCTTTTACCTTCCTTCAAAAATTAATTGGGGGTGGTGCCAGGAAGGGCAGACAGACAGAGATTTAATTTATTTAAACATTTCGTGCAAGTGGTCAAGGGGTTCAGGACTCAGGTTCTTGACATCCATTCATTACCCCAAAAATGGTCAAAAATGGTCAAAAAATGTGTTAAAAGGTGTGTTTCGGATGTGGTTGGGTGGGGAGGGGGCCTTGTGGGGCGCACCTCGTGATTTATGCTATGCATTCAAATGCAACTTTCGGGGTAGGACGAGGAGGAGGAGGAGGAGGCGGCGGTTGGACTGCCGGCCGACTGGCCGATCCATATGGCAGCAGCCATAAATATGTCAATATAAACAGTCCGACAACCAGAGAGACCCAGCAAAAACCCAGAGAACAACGAAAACATTTCAATAAAAATCAAAAATCAAAATCAACAGCAGGCAAAAAATCTCCCAAAAAAAAAAAATATATATATATAAACAAAAAAATCATTCACCGGACGCTATCAAATTTTATAAGCCTTTGTTTTTGGTTTTCCTTCACCGCTCTATGGGGAAGGGGGAGGAGCAGTGGTGTTTGGGGTTGGGTGGCCTAGGGGAGGGGTGCTACGTGGATTGAGTAATCGGTTATCCAGGCTCTGGCATCGACCATGTCATTGCCAGCGAGTTTTTTTTTTTTTTTTTTTTTTTTGTTCGGCCCAGGTGTGCTGCCTCTGCACACATGGACACGACACAGAAAACGGAACAGACCCAATTTTGTTGCATGACTATGACACTGTTGAAGGTGCCCCAGCAGCAGCAGCAACAGCAGCCGGAGGCAGCCACAGCCGTGGCGCATGACTCAGGTTCAAGTTGGGTCGCAATCAAAGCCGATAGACAAGACAGCCGAGGCCCTCATCGAGGGTATGTTTAATATTGCCGCATATTGCCACAAGATGAAATATTCAAAAGATTTCACCCAAAAAAGGGGTTTCCAGTGGGGGAAGAGCTTAACAAAGAGATTCGCCTGAAAGGTTGAACAAAGTAAACCCAAATTCTTGATTGATTGAAGAAAAGTTTCTTGTCTTTGGAATGAAATTTGTAAAATGTATACATACATTATTTATCGTTGATTTTCCATACAAATAACTTTGAGCGTGCCTCTTTAGGTCAAAGTTCTTCCATTATTCAGTTGGCAAACAAATTTTTCAAGTGCCATCCATGGTTCTGGGCCTCTGCCATGCGATGCATGGCCATAAACTAAACAAACCTGACCCACATCTTATTAATACAAAAATAGAAGAAAAAAAACTAACAACCAAATTGTGTGCATATCAAGGTAAATTGGCCAAAAACAAGAGCAAAGCTTTGGCCAACAGCCAGCGACGGAGACAGAGCCACAGCTAGAGACCGAGCCAGCGCCAGAGCCAGAGCCAGAGCCTGTGTGTGAGCTGTGTAACCTACATGGCCAACTGACTTGAATGAGTGTCAAAGCTATTTGGCGCTAATTGCCTTTTACGATTATTTTCACATTTGGCCAGAGCGTAGAGCAAGCAGAGACAGCCAACGCGGTTCGACTCCTCCACGGCCCCTCCCTCATCATACTCTCACCTCTTTGGAGGAGCCTCCTCCTGGAGGCAGACACTTAGCGGCACGCATGACTACACAGAGAGAAAAAAAAAAGGGAGTCCGAGAGAGTGGCGTAGAGTGGCAGGCAGCTTGAGGTGAAGCATGCACGAGTGCGTCGCATTACGTTCCATATACCACAATACATACACACATAAATACATATGTATGTATGTACTTATATGGAGGGGCTAGAGGAGAAGATAAACATATCTACATCTGCTCCGTGGCACGCAACATATTCGCTTATTAAATTGAATTAAATTTTTCGTACGTTTTATTTGCAGCTCTCTACGTGAGAGAGTTATGCGGGTGCACGTGAAGGTGGATAGGTGGAGAGTGGCAGAGCGGCAGTGGTGCTGCCTATGGCTCTTGTGGGTTAATGTCAAAGATAGGGGGCACAGACTTTTGGTTATTATCCTCAATTATGGTTAACGGGTCAAAGCGACACATGACCGAGGCAGAAAGAGAGAGGCAGGCAGGGAGTCATGCGACAATAGAAAAGCCATATAAAACAAAAAAAAAACGTAATTCCAGTGGGTGCATGACCCATAAAAACCAAAATAAATACCAATTAATTGTCCAGCAAGATGGTTTACGGGGTCCACACAGCGATAGCGGGACCGGGACCCACTAAAGTGGGCTATCCATAATTTAGGTACAGTGCCCAATGGGAGAGGCATAGATGATATGTAATACGATAGGAATAGTCATTACATTGTTTAGAAATTAATAAACAATAATAATAATAATTAGAGATTGGTTCTGCTCTAGACAAGGTTTTAATCCATGCAGCGGGACAAAGCAGGGGAATTTAGTTGAAGTCATTACGATATCCTTAAATAAAAGACAATATATACATGCGATCTGTAGGATGTGCACATACCTTATCGATCAATTGATGGTATCTGAAAAATTCAAAACAATTATTAAAATAAAGAGAATAAAGCATTCCATTATTAAATTATTTTTCCCAGCAAATTTCAAGTGATATAAGTGATATTTAAGGATGCATAGGAATGCAAAAATGGCTTGATAATACTAATACCATTTTAAGAATTTCATCGCATAAACTTGCTACTGCTATAAGTTAGGATATCTTTAGAAAGCCTCAATTTGATGGCTCTTAAGATGAAAGAATTCTACTTCGAGTGAGTTTATTCCTATAAACGGATGAACAGCTGAAGATGGGCAAAGCTTTTAATTATATTGCAGCAACCATCAGATTTATTGGCATCATTCAAGGCATTATAAACATCTGATCGTTGCAGCGTATTTCACTTTAGATTAATTAGCTTTTAATCAGCCAACAAAAAAAAACAAAAACAAAAGAAAACAAGTGATTTTTCATTATTTACCTGTGGCAGTGCTGTGCGGCCTGTGTGTGCAAATAGTTAATCATGCCATAGACAGGGTTGAGACATGGCTAAAAATAGTAAAAGACAACAACAATAACAATAACAGCCACTGATAGAATACGAATGAAGAAGAACAAAAGTTAAACATGTTTTTGGAAGGCAATTCGCCCATCCGTAATTGTCTATCGGGGCACTTGGCACTTAATTGCCAGATGGTACGAGTCGAGACGAGACGAGGGAACTACGATTGCCACTACTGGATTGCTGGATTGATGTAACTATTAAACAATAAAATAACTCTAAAGTTGGAGAATTTTCTAATGGGATATGGGGAGTGGAGTGGAGTGTAGTGTGGTGGGGGCCAATGTCAAGGCATGTTGATGGGAAATGATCATCACGATCATCATCGTCATCGTCATCATTATTATTGTGTATGGGCAGTCAGACAAGGTCAGTGAAGTCATCATCAAGCGATCTAATGGATCTTAATGGTCTAAAGTCGAACATAGGTTTCCCACCCCTCGCCAGCTATTTTATTTTCCACATTCCAATTATCAGTTTGTTTCATTCCCACATTTCTGCAAGGCAGCAAATAGAGTTACAATGTTTGAAGCATTCCATTTGAAGCGGAATTTAAGAGCAATCAAACCTCCCTTCGGAAGAAGTATTCCTGGGGAAACAGTTTAAAATTTTATCCCACGTTCACACATATGTTTTGCATCCGTTTCTAGTTAATCTGGCAACACCAGAGATGCCTCAAGGAGCTTTGAAAGCTTTCAAAATCGTACTGTTCTAGTGGGTTAACCCTTTCTCCTAAACGATCCCTATGGGAACACCACGTCAAGGTCAGTTCTCAGAGATGGCATCGCAACTACCATCGATCTTAATGGATGGTCTATAGAGCTAAAATAAAAGAGAAACCTATTTCATTTTCCGTGTGATTGCCGTGTCTTAGAGCCAGACAGACAGACAGGCAGACAGACAGACAGACAGATAGACAGACAGCTAATGGACATTTCAATTGCACTGTGGGGGCGTGGTCTGACCTCTGTCAAGGATGAAATGCAGTCAAGACTGAGCATGCCATTTGATAATTGATTACAAATCTCAAGCAACGAACAAAAGGAGAAAATCCCCCCACCAAATGGGGAAAGTTGTATTGTGCGACCCATTCAAAATTGAGTAATTGCCTGGAAAAGAATGCAGCAGCATCAGCATTAGCAGCAGCACGTGTGCCGAGTCTTTATATCATATATAAGTACATATCATTATCTTGATGTTTATCTTCAGAACATAAATCAAAGATTGATTGAGCAAATAAACATATGTATGTATGTACGAGTCGTGACTGTTTAAGCCAATGCAATCAACATGTAAATTAGCTAATAATAAAAATTAACAAACGATCATAAAAAAAGACACACACACACAAAAATCCATGGCCAGAACGACTCGGGTGATATAATGATAATACATTCAGAATCGATAGCTCAAAGATAATCGCAATGATGAGCTTATCCCACGTTTTAGCAAGAACATAAAGCCAAAAGCCTCAAGCTCTCTTCACCAAGTCAAGGTCGAAAAAGTGTTTTTTGTGTCCAACAATTCGCGCGCTTTGTTTGCCCCCACGACGAAAAAAAACAACAAAACAAAACGAAGATGCTGCAAACACAAACAAAAACAAAATATCAAATATTAGTGGATGTTAAATAACTTTTTGCTGTAGATATTTCACTTTCATCAGTGTTCACTTTTTAACGCTATAATTAAGCGAATGCGTAATATTCGCACCAGGTTTTTCTGGCCAACATTTTTGCGCGATGATTTGCGCGAAAACGTTCGCTCGAGGGTCAAGTGCATGAAATTTGTTATGCGATCAAGGTACGCTGGGTAGCCCTGCCCCCCCTCAAATGCCCGCTCCATCCTCACCGATGATAGTCATCATGATAATGTAATGTAAATTGTAATTAAAATCAACAGCAAAAGAGCCTGGATAGGGGGTCGTGTCTTTGGCTGTGTCTGTGGCTGTGTCTGTCTCTCTCTCTCCCTGTCTCTGTCTCGGTTAGCCAACTTGTGTTCTAGACCATGTTTTGTGTGCATTTGAGATTAATTTATGCCAACATTCGTTCCAAGACATGACGAGCACCAAAACCGACTCTTCGACTTCCACTTGGACTCCAGTTGGAGTCGAAAGTCTGACGACTGGAGTCCGCGTCGGCGTCGGAGTTGCAGTTGGAGCTGAAGTAGGAGTTGGAGTCGGGAGTTAGTTGGTCGCATACATAAATAAATTAAAATTGCTAATGGCTTGCGGGCAGATACTGCCCTTCACTGCCCCTCATTCTGGAACTCTCGCCCCGTGCAACGCCCATAATTAAAAGCAACAAGAACCACAACACCACCAACAAGGCACACAAAACAAGAAAAAGATTGCAATACTTTCGACAGTCGCAGCTATAGATACCCTTAAAGGATCATTTAAGACATACAAGCATAGAAATATGATCAGATTTCGATCAAAATGGCTTTAAAACTGCTCAAGAATAGTACTGCTTGGCTACTGCTTTAGTGCTGCTTGACTGCAAGTGGTATAGGCGAAACTTCAGTTAGAGACGATCGCAAAATGTTTTCTTCTTGTTGCTAACATCATGGATACCCTCTCAAAGAGCATACAAACACACAATAAAACCATGACCAACTCAAGGAAGGAATACGGAGAGATATACAAGAGTGCCGAAGCAGAGAGACAGAGGGAAAGAGATGGAATGAGAGAGGTATAGCGATCGCTGGGTCCGTGGCATAAATCAATCAATTTATCGTCCCAAGGAGTAGCTGGCTGCCAGAAGGAGAAGAAGACTGCCACTTCTTCCTACATCGCAATCCTCTCTCTCCCTCTCCAAATGCTTGCAGTAGAAATCGCTCTCTCTCTCTCTCTTTCATTCCCTCTCTTTCTGTGGGTGCAACGACCTAACTCTAAGCTCACCTCTGGAGCCAGAACTTTGCTTGTGGCTGTGACTGTGGCTGTAGCTGTGGGTGTGTGTTGTGCTCCCCCGCAACCCATCAGACTACCATCATCATCATCGTGGCTTGTTTGCATACGAAGACGAAAGACGTAGAGACATTGCCGCAGAGAGTTCCTTGTGGAAAATTGCAACTTTGCCCACAAATAACCCAAGCCAAGTAAATTCCTGCCCCTTTAAGCCAAACTGTAATTTGCTGTCTCTGCAGTTATCTGGAACTTGCCTCGTAATGTTCTATAATTCATTGCCAACAGAAAGAAGTTTCGCTTAAATTGAAAACAAAAACAAAAAAAACATCAACATAAGTCAGAAAGACAGAAGGTAGAATGGAGGGAGTCTGGCATGAAGAAAACTTAATTTTCATTTCGAAAAAGAATCAGTTCTGGAATGCTATTATCATGGCACTGACTGTTGCATGTCCAAAGAGATCGAAACCTCAAACCAAACTGTATTTTTTTTTTTGGGTGTGCGGAGCTGCCTAGACAATTGTCTGTCCATTGAAGTGGCGGACATGTAATTAACACTTGGCAGAATGACACTACACTGGCATTTAATGCGTTTGGCCTTCTCACTGGCAATTTGACGAAAATTGTGGGGTTTCATTTTGTTTTACATTTCAATGTGAACACTGCTTGGTTACTGCTTGCGATTGCACAGCTTAAGCTGCTAGTGGTATTTATATTCTCCCTCCCAGGAGCTGTTTTAAAACTGCTTGCACTTTCAATTGCACTGCTTAAGTACATATATTTGTATTGATGCTTCGGGGAGATCCAAAGCTCTACTCTCTGCAGAGAGAAAAAAGAATGAAACAAATTAAATGAAATGCTTTCCATCATGGCATGGCCCTCTCCGCTGGACACTTAAGCGATGTCATCACAAACACTCACACACGTTGTGGGCAATGCATCAAGTTTAAGGCTTAATCGGTACGACTATCCCCACTTCAACACAGCACCTTCCCCCCGCCCCACTCCTCCCTGTGCAACCGCTTCTCTATCACTCAGTTGCAGCCAAATTGCTGCCATTGCAATTCTCAATGCTCTTTTTTTTTTAAGACTTCTTTTCCACGCTTCGTTTGTGTCGACAGCAGCTTTTCATTAGACAATTTCCCAAAAGGGGGGAAAACAGAGATAGATAGTGAGTGAGGCAGAAAGGGGGGGGCAAGCAACAGACAAATGGATAGAGGAAGGCTGGCAGGGGGGTGCAGGCAACCCGGGGGGATAAGTGCATGCGTTGTCTGGCATCGGTTCGAGGGTATCAAGAGACAAGAGGCAACCGATTTTCATTATGTCGAGTCGACACTAACAACTTTTACTTCTCTTAGCTTGCTCATCCCTCTCTCTCTCTCTCTCATCTGTCTATGTATATATCTTTCTCCCGTTCTGTCTCTTACTAACAGTAGCGTGTGGTACATTGTTAGCTTAATTGTTGTTGTTCTTGTTGCTGCTGCTGTTAGAATGTGCGCATTATTGAGTTACGTGCTTGGCGGCACAAAAGCAACAACACAGCGAACAGTTGCAACAAGCAGTTGCATCTTGGCACGTTTCTATTATTTAACTGTCAGCACAGCATCGCGGCTAAAAGCAACAGCAGCAGCAACAGCAAGAACAACATCTCTGCTAATTGCCCGACAAAAATGTCTCGCACTTAACATTTGTCTTCTTCATTTGCCCAACACTTAATCGGAAAGAGTGGCAGAAGCAGCATCAGCAGGCGCATCTGAGCGGAAATCTGTTACCAACAATTAAGCCAAAAGCTCAAAGCCAAAGCCACCAAAAGGCGACGCCGTAGTCCCATAATTACTGATCCCTACACACAGACCCAGACACACTCCTACGCGATGGACCCTGCCAGACTAGCCAGACCAGCCAGGGCTGCCCTGCTGCTGCATCAAAAAGAGTTGCCGCCGGTAAGCCCACGCTGCCAAAAATTGCTGGCGACTGCCGCGGAAAGTCACAGCTACGAATACCCTTGCAAAATCACTGATGCTCTTTTTCGCCGATGCTCAACGAACAAACGAGTTTCTGCCACTGAGACCAGCTCATTGGTTC